TAATAAGAAATGTTAACATTTTTGCAGGGTTTAAAATGGACAGTTTTTTTTTCCTGGTGAATGTTGAGTAAAATTGCAGAAATCTTTTTTGTACTTTTTAATGGCAGAAATTGTTTAGTAATTAGTGTTTTCTTACTTATCTTAGTAGTTCATTTAATATATTTTTATGTCGACTATTCCTGTGTTTTTATGCAAATATGGGGCTGCTGTGGCTCAGGGGGGAAATGGGCATCTACCAATCAGAGGGTCAGAGGTTTAATCCCCATCCCCTGCAGTCAAAATGTCCAGAGGTGGAAGAAGTACTCAGATCTTGTAATTAAGTAAAAGTAGAACTACCAGGAATACTATAAGCCCTGTAATCAAAGCATTACTCAAGTAAATGTACAAAAGTATTGGCATCAAAATATACTCAAAGAACCAAAAGTAAAAGTATTCATTGTGCAGATTGGTCCATTTCAGAATAATATATATGATGTGTTTTATAATGATTGATCATGAAAGTGTTCTCAAAGCTGGTAAAGGTGCAGCTAGTTTGAATGACTTTGTATACTGCAGGGTAGCTTGTGAATTTACTCCAGCTGGAACTAAAGTCTGATTTAAGAGTTAATTAGATTTCACATCATTCATCCACATCTGTAAAGTAACTAAAGGTACTAAATACATGTAGTGGAGTAAAAGTACATGATTTACCTCTGAATTGTAGTGGGGTGAAAATACAAAGTATCAAAACATTGAAATACTCCAGTTAAGTACAAGTACATACCTCAAAATGTTACTTAAGTACTTTACTTGAGTAAATGTACTTAGTTAAAATGTGTCTCTGGTACATAAATAAATAATATGATATTACGAAAATAAAAGGAAACGCTGCATAGTGTATGTGTCTACAAAGGCACTACTGTTACTCTGTACAGCTTCTACTGTTTTTCAACCCACCACCTAGTGCCTAGTATGTTGCATTACAATGGAGCGGTCACTGAGGGGAGTTCACCTCATTTCACCTCATCACACACAAACACAATGTGGCAGCTGCTGCCGCGGCTCGACCTGGGCATGCTCATTACAGTAGCTGCAGCACTTTACAGAAGCTGTACACGTGATTTTTGGTGAACCAGTAAGGGACACAGTGTCTTTGACTGTGTTGGCGCTGCGTTTCCACCTTGTATGTGAAGCGGCTGAGGCGTCATGGGAGGAACGAAGGCTCTCTTTGTGCCCTTGTCCTGCGCCTCAGCATGTGCCGCCTGCTGCGGGGGGCGGCCGCTCACTGCAGAGAAAACCAGAGGAGGGGGAGGGAAGTTGTTGTTTGGGGAGAAAGGAGGAGCCGCCTGCCTAACTGTCGCCCCTGGCAGATGAAGAGGAGGAAGAGGCGCTGTCGCCATGGTAACCGGCCTGAGAAAAGTTTGAGGTCTGGATGCTGTCTGGCTGCCGCTGTTTCCGAGGTCATGTTTGTTTGACGAGTCACCTCCGCTGTTCCACACCTGGACCTTGAACAAGCTGTTTTGGGAGGGAATGAAGAATTGATAGAGGGAGGAAGAATGAGAGCACTGCCAGTTTTGAGGCTGCGTTGGAGGATATGGGGGACAATTTAGCATATTTTCATTATCTTTAAGAATTGTCCACTGATTTGAAAAAGCGAATCTCTTCATGGTGTACTTTAGATTCATTTTCACTAAGCATATCATGGGTTTCAACCATTTAAGGGATTCAAAGTGTCCCCACTTCAGAAAAAGCAAAAATGGATGCATTGCTTTTATTAAAAATTATTAGAACTATTTTTCAGTTTGTCACATATTGTCATTTATTCATTGTACTAAATGTTTTAATATATATATTTTTATATTTACATTTGGTGTAAAGTATTGTCTTTATTCTTTTTTAATGGTAAAATATTTTTCTTTTTATAATCGTTATATTTTTGACCTTCTCTTACAACTTATTTTCTTATGCACAAAAGCAAATTCCTTGTATGTTTAAACGTATCTGGCAAAACAACTTCATTCTCCCTAAAGTATATTTGATTAAAGTTAATTATATTAAACCATGCTAATTTAAGCATTTATTAAATGTATGTTTTGCATCCGCCACCAAGACGCAAAATCCTTTTTGGCCTGCTTTCTTACAGCCTCAAGGCCATATATAAATAATTGGCAGTTAAAACATTTGAATAATAAACCTATACTGCCTCCAGGTGCAGATTTCATCACATCTTTCAAAATATGTACAAAAGGGAGACTGTCCATAAACAATATAGTCTTGATAACTGACACTTGCCTTCTTCGTAGAGGTGGGCTTTTGCTGCCATCAAGAGACAAACACCTCCTACTTATGGCTGCATGACCAGGCTCCTGCGGGGTTTCATCCCCAGTTCTGGCGCTATGGCAGACATCCTGAGAATAATCCCAGAAGCCTTCACCTCCCCAAAGGCCATCACTTCTGCTGCTGATATTTCTGCCATCCTGAGTTTGATCATTCTCTTTCTCATCAATGTTATAATTGTATGGACTGTTGATTTTTGCTGGTAAAGCCTTGAAGCCAGCTGATCCTTTAAAAGAAGGCTTGGGTATTTGTGGGAAACCTGAGAGTAATTTTAAAGAAGGAAAACATAGTTATATATACTGTTACAAAGTAGGAAGTAGATGTGATTTGGTGACATCTTTAATGAGGATGTATTATGCTCATTTTTCAGGTTCATATTTGTATTTTGTGTCTCTACTCTCCATGCTTTAATGTTCAAAAAGCTCTTTACTTTTCTCATACTGCCTGTGCTACAGCACCTCTTTTCACCCTCTGTCTGAAACTAGAGCGTAGTCTGCTCTGATTGGTTAGCTGTCTAGCTCTGTTTTGTAGCTCAGTTACACATACGATTATGAGAATATATCATAAGACACAGAACCCGGTTTGTTTATGCAAACCATGGAAAATTGGGAAAGCTATCAAGCCTTTTGTGTCAGTGAGTCACACAGTTACATTTAGTAGACCAGATACTGCGCAGTTTACTCAAGTCAAGTGAAAAGGAATTCACTCTAATCCAGAGCACAACATACTGTATAGAGAAGAGAGAGACTCTGCCTCCTTCTGCATATCCTGAGTGGCTGGGACCTGAGAAAGAGACGGAGGCATGTCCAGGTGCCATGGGCTGACCTCCTGGTGCAGTGGCTTTCTGGCAAATACAATCCAGAAAGAAGAAAAATGCTTCAGCTGTGAGAGGAAAGATGCTGATAAAATGGGGCATCTATTTGTACTCACACTTTGTGGACAATGGGTTTCTCAAAAAACAGATTGTCCAGGGACAAGGTGCAGTCATCGGAGTCCAACATCTCATCAGGTCCCAGAGGCGTGCACACATGTGAACGCAAAGCTGGGCAATGCCAATCAATCGCTATGGGTAAATGGTGATATATGGTTGAACAAGAAAACAAACCAAAAATACTTTTATAGATGTAATACCAAAGCAATAAATGAGAAGCTATTTCTTTACAATATTAGTTCTGTGGCTGAGATTTATTTAAAGGTCGAATGAGAGGAAAACACCATAGTTGCTGCAACCTTGGAGGCTTTTAAACGTTTGTAGTTGTCTGAATTAACACAACAAAGCGCTCTTATAATATTTAAATACATTTTCCAAATGAGTTTATACATGATATGTTTCGACACACAAAAGAGTATTAATAAATGTATGGCTTTCATAGAAATACTGTAAGCAATCTTACTGCTGATTTAATGTGAATTTAAGCATTTAGCATAGCTACTTACAAATACCGTGGTGGTAAGTAACTAAGTACATTTACTTAAATACTGTACTTGTGTACTGTACTACAATTTTGAGGTACTTGTACTTTAGTTGAGCATTTCCATTTTATGTTACTTTGTAGCCTACTTCTACTCCACAAACATCTGACATACCTGAATGCTATATAAGAAGACCACCTGCTGAACCAAGACATATGAACAATGTACATTCCATTATGACTAATGTAGTTAGTATCTCAGTTAAAATACTAAGTAACTACATTTTCAGGCTAAAAGAGTGAAACAACTTTGGCTTTGTTAGCTTAAGCTAAGGCCTTAGCTACTGAACAACCAGCTAGCAATATTAAAATATGAAGACATTTAAACAAAGGCTATCAGTTAACTGCATACTTGCCTAACAGTTTAACTAATTACCTATATGAAAGTTATCTGTACTATTTTCTAGCAGTGAACTTACCTGTGTCAATGTTTAAATGTATTCCAGGGACATTACAAATCAGTTGTTAAACATTGACCTCACTAGCCACATTCGACATTTTAGACAGCGCCGAATACCATGTTGCGTTCAATAACAACAATATTAAGTAGCATATTAATATAAACAATACTGTTTTTTAAAATAAAAAATATCAGCTGTAGCTTGTTGTTCTTATTAAAATATAAGTTGCCCAACTAGAACAAATACTACTTTGAAATGAATTTTTTTCTATGTTGAAGGTGTATTTTCTGCTTAAAACACACGTCACTGTGAATAACTTAACCGGCCGCGAAAGCAACAAAGACCGGTGAGAAAAATACAACCATTGGGGGATAGTGTAACATCTCTCCTGTGTTGGCAAACAAGTATTGTCTATGTGTGAAGGACAAGTTCACATAGCAAAACAAAAATATGTTCTTTAAAAAAAACAAAAAACAATTATTAACTGAGATTTCAATTCATGTTATCAATTACAACGATGATTACACCGCCGTCACCTACAAAAAAATCTGATACTCAAAGGAGATGGTCATTAACTCAGGTTTTTTATTCCTCCTATCTGGACTGAACCATTACAAATCTTTCGGGGGGACATAACGCCGACTCGTAACATTACGTGACGAAAATATACAAGACCATAACTTGCATAACTTTCATACTATTGCTATTTTATAAAATAGTTCCACTACTAACGCAATATGTGAAGCATGTATTTGTTTTGTTACTGTGGAGACAACTGTATGTATGGTTACCCTTACAAAAGAAATGATCTGTCCCACACCAGACCAGCACGGAAAATGGCGACTGTGAAATAGATGGAAGACGAAAGTAAGAAATTATTCAATGCATCGTTTAAATTGCGCCCTGTCTGCATCTGCACCGCTCAGAGGTAACGTTTGTTTGTTTTTCGTCATGTTATTAATGTCTGTTGCGTAAATAGCGTGAAACGGTTGTCAATAGCTATAGTTTAGCTTGAAGAATAGGTTTTGGTGTGGAACAGCCTTAATGGAATGGTCTGCAGCTCCCACAAGCAGCATCCAACAACACAGCGTGATATAAACGTCAAATAAATGCAACGATACCCTTATGGGACTTGGTATAAATGATACAATTTGCCCTGTATTAAGATAGCATTGGAAACATACTCCAACTATTGTAGGTTGGCATATAACTGAACTACTGTGTTGAAAGTTTTAGCTCTGTACAATATCCACAACCGCTTATTATAAGCCATTTCCGAGGTCCATCTCTTTGCATTTTCAGTGCTGCTGTGTATATGTTAGAAACAAATCTCACACAGGAGCATTCACTTGGTATGACACTTTTATTGCCCTTCAAATGCAAGACCTCTCACTACCGCGACCTTGTAGCATTATAAATGGCAACGATTAATCATCAGAGCAAGTGTCAAGTATATTTTAATTAGATATATTTATATTGTAGTCAATGATAGCTGGTTGAGTAAATAATCTAACTCTGATGACAATGTAAATAACTGAATGGTTTACTTTTTACAACAGACTCATTCTAATCATTTCAAAAACGACCTAGCTTTATAAAGCATATCAATATTGGACTTGAAACATAAATCTCACTGTTGTTCACCACAGCATTCTAAAAGTTTTAAATGTCTTATTATAATCTTAGCTAGATGATTAAACATCGTAACCATCACTGATTTACGATTATATTAAGAGCTACAGTTTATGACTATGTTACATTTTGACAAATCTGCCATTATCTGCTTTATATCTTCGATGCTAAAATGTGAACAGTGAAAAAAACCCTTAGCATTTCTTTAATCTAAGGTTTGCTATCACAATAGGCTACACAAAAAACAGCTAGCTGGGATTACTATTTTTAAATAGTTGCAAAATAAAAACTAATCGTCTCTCCCTATCCAACAATTTCTTCCCCATTTTCTTTTTTAAACTTAAACACAAACAACAACAACTTTTTGTTGCCATTCTAGCAGTTTCTAGTGGCTGGTTTCTAATGCTCATTACACTCGAGAGAGAAAAAATGACTCCAACAATCTATACTATTTGTTTTTCCCTTATACTAAATCCGGATTACTTCCTCTGCAGTGAGCGTCTGCTTGCGCTAAAGTGCAATATAAACTACATGACGACTGCTATTTGTTAACGTTAGGCCATGCGATGTGGTGAAACAATGACCAAAGCAAACCCTTTTTAATTGGGCACTTTTGTTTAATTACAAATTAAATGTAAAAAATACATATTTTAATATTTCAGGTTCATAATGATCAAGGTTGAAGGCTTTTACACACCAGGGGACAAATAAACAACAAGACATTGCTAAATGTTCTCCTTTTTAATCGTTTACAGTAACACAAATTAGCAAACGTTGCGTCAATGGTTCAATAAAAGTTTTCAACAGCTTAGCTCAAGCTCTTAACTTTAAGCAAAATGCTCATGAACTTGATTTCCCCCCGGGAAAACTATTGGTTATGTCAATTTGGTACAACGTGGTTAATGCTTTATTATGAAAAATATACTTTATTCCAGAAATAATTAACATCCCTTTTTCACGTAATGTTTGCATTCTTTTTCAGATAGTAATGATGACGTTTGAATAAATATACACTCTTTTTATTTTTTTATTTATTAAACTGTATAGAGCTGGGCTGGTGTAAAACACATTTTAAACTGCTCATCTATTTAGGCCCAAAAAATTACCAGAACTATATGCCACATTTTCACGCAGCAGCGCAGCATTGCTAGATTAGTTAAGCTTAGCTTTAGTTTATTTTCGAGACTTACTGTGAACACATTCACTTTCCAGTGAACAAAACGCGCCTATCGTCGTTTCATGCTCGCATTAACTAGAGCACTTTTATTAGTTTGAATGGAGCCTGTCTCTCTACCAATGCAGGGTGCAAGCCCACATTTCGATTTGATTTATTGCTAGCACGAACCCTTACTGTTGACCTCCGAATCCGTATAAAATATACAACATGGTTTCTAAAATGTCAGTTGTAAAATCTTCTCTGTGAGTACTACAAACTATTTGCAGGCTTTTGGCATTTGATAAGCCATTACACACATTAATATTTTTTTGGAACTGGACTTCCTTGTATTTTATTGTTTACCGGTACTAAACTACTCATACCCCCCAAAAGGCTGGTTTTACACAGAGCTGGTTTTACACATTTATACAAATGCTCATTTATACAAATGCTCACCTCACCACACATTTTAATAGGTTGAAGCTATCAAGTCAAAATCTCCCAAGGACATTACAGAGGAACATTTTAAACTTCAGAATACGGACAAAAGATTCAAAGGCAACAACCCTACTAAGATCAGTGATCAGTTATTTGTTATTGTGCCGGGACAGAGAAGCCACCAAAGGTGATGAAGGTTTTTATGTCACCTTTGAGAAGCTACAGTGATAACTGGATTTTGTAGTTACTTTTGGTTAAGGAATATCTAAGAAGGCTTTACTTTTATTTTTTCAGGTCATGGCAGCTGAAATGTCATGTCGGACCGGTGTTGATGAAGACGACAAAGATGCAGATCATGAAATCAACGCCCTCACACTCTTGCAAGAACCAGTGAGAATGACCCAAGAATCCGCATCTTGCACCAATTCTTACGGCAAGCCTTCTTCGAAACAAAACAGCGTCCTAGATGTTTTGTCGAACACAGATATGCTGTCTCCGGGTGGCCTGGGAAATGGACCACCTTCGCACCAGGCTACAGAAGCCCATGAACTCAACAGCATCTCTATAGAGAAGGAGGAGACAAAGAGCATCACCCCATTAAAAACGGTGCAGGAAATTGACACTGCAGGAATTTGGGGTTTTGATGAAGACTCTCCGGAGAACTCATTGGATGATTTTAGTAATGCCAGTGACCTTCATTGGGACCCTCACAAAGAGTTCATGCAGTTTCTGTGGGAGAACCATGGGGATTCCCCTGGTGAGGAGCATAAAGATGAAGACCCTCCTTCCAACAGCCAAAAGACAAGGAGACGAAAAATGGACATGGTTGTCATGGTGGATCCCTCAGAGGACCTTTACCCCAATCTGAGCCACAAGTCACCTGAGGAATTGTCTGATGTTGAAGACCACGTAGATTCCATTCCATTCAGAAAATTCAGAAAGTCAAGGAACCTTCCCCAGTCAGAGTCATCTCCATCAGGTAAAGTTACAAAGTATCCTAATGGAACAGTCAAGGCCATCAAGGACATTCTTTACAATCCACCTGCCAGAAATTCCAACGAGAACAGTATAGGTCATGGGCTTTTACCATTGAAGGGAAGACTTACCATCAATTCTCATTCTGAGGAAAAGCCATTATGCTACCCGTGCTCAAAATGTAAGCTTGTATTCAAGAAAGAACATCATTTACATCGTCACATGAAGTCTCACGTTGACGCGCCGAATATTTCGCCAAAGCTTTTTATATGCCGAGAATGTGGACTGTCCTTCAAACAAAGTGGTTTGCTTATTGAGCACATGTCCAAGCACAAGGAGAAAACGGCAAGACTCGCTAAGGAGATCAAACGCATGAATGATAAGAAGAAAGAGGATAAAAAGAATCTTTTCTGCCCTCAATGCCCATTTGGTACAAACTGCCCAAACAAGTTTGTTCAACATGCCAAAACACACGAGAAGGACAAGAGAAAGTTTAGATGTGACAAATGTAGCTACAGGACTATGAGTGAGACTGATCTTAGGAGACATAACATTATGCAGCATACTGTTATTACTGTAAGAAATCAGATCCAGAACAAAGACTCTGAAATCTACTCCTGTAACATTTGTTCTTATAGAGCTCTTAGCAAAAATGTTTTTAGGAATCACCTTCTGCGACGTCATCAACAAACCTTTGAGGAATACGAAGCAGAACATTTAAGAGAAGAAAATGCACAAAAATCGAAGGAGGAGCACACACCTAATAGTTCATCTCCTGTAGAAGATGCAGAGTTTACATCTAAAATCTCTATAAAAAAACAGATCTCGTCTAAAAGAACTTGTTCACCGACTGAGTCCAATGATATTTCAGACTTATTCAAAAATAGCAAGATCAAGAGAGGTCTCAAGTCTCAACTAACGGAATCAAAGCTCGACAAATCCATTAATGTTCTCCTGTCCCGACAAAGAAATGGAAAAAAAATTGCAGAACCGAAGAGGGAAAGCAATAATCGCAGCACATTGGTTCTGGATTCCAAATGTGACAAAGATGTCTCTGATCAATTGCCTGGATCCTTGACAGTCAAAGTTGAAGATGCAGCTTTATCCCCAAATGGTCATAGTTCAGCAGAAAGACATCAGTCAACACTCAGAAAGTCACCGTCTAAAAGGAAGATGTCCACCCCATATCGCAACACCTCTGACCAAGACTCATGCTTCATCTTACCAAAAACTCTGCCAACTCCACAGAATATAAACCAAGAAGAAGAAGAAGAAGAAGAAGAAGAAGAAGAAGAAGAAGAAGAAGAAGAACTGTCAGACTATGACAAAAAAGACATTTTCCAGTTTACCGATTCAGATGCCGATACTGACTTTTTTGACAGTGGTATAAAGAAAGAAAAGCAAAACATAATTTATACCTATAGCAGAAGAATGTCAATGAGGGGTGCTCTGCAGGCGTCTAAAAGGCTGTTTGAAAAAATAAAAACTGAAGAGCAAGAGCAGACTGACCCTGAAATCAAAGAAGAATGCATTGAAACAGAAGTATTTCAAGAAACCATAGACTCCAACCAAATACCATTGTGTGAAGACTTCACAGAGGATTTGTCAGAGTTGGATTCGGAACGGAAGAACTGTCCATACTGTCCTGCAATCTTTGAGTCGGGCGTTGGATTGTCCAATCATGTCCGAGGGCATCTTCATAGGGTTGGACTGAGCTACAATGCACGCCATGTGGTTCCTCCTGAGCAAGTAGTTACTCACGACAGGAGGCCAAGAATTCGACGGAAGATGTCAGCATACCAGAGACTGAAAAAAGGTAACTATGCACTTATTGCATGTTCTTCTATTTAAACTTGGCTTATATTTTTGGGACTTTGGCCATTGGTGCTATTTGTTATTATATAACACTAGTACGGTTATTACTTTACGTCAATCTTGCAAATTCGTGGAACAACCTTACAGAGTAGCATGCATCGTTGTAAGCATAGTCGTGCACACTTTGGTTTTTCATTGAAATTAAAGATTATTAGAGACATTATTTGGCAGTCTTCTTTGGTTTGAACTATTCTGGAAAAAAACTGTTTTTTATCAGCCTGGTTGTGTTCCCCCATTGGAAAACCTTTAAGCCACCTAGGCACGTCCAAGATTTTAGTTCTCGCAACTGATAGACTCAATACTAGGGGTGTAACGGTATCCGTATTCGTCCCGTATCGTCACGGTTCGGCACATGCAGTCACATGGCGAATACGCCTTTTTTTACGAGTGGGAAAAAAGTCTGTCACTCAGGGCAGTATTACACTATATATAATCCAGGGGGCGGTATTGTGCCTAAAAGCCAGCCGCCCGTAAATAACAAATGAAGAACAAGAACAAATCACAACAAAACGAACACAATACATGAAGAAGAAAAGTTAGCTATGGCGAGTTCACACAACACACAGGAGCTAGAAGACCCACCTGCTTCTTTTAAATTAGCTGTGTGGGAACATTTCGGGTTCCCTGTGGACTACAACAATGATGGGGTGCGAGTTGTGGATCGGACGAGGACGGTGTGTCGGCGTTGTTCGACAGCGGTGCGGTATGCTAGTGGTAACACGTCAAACATGCTCAATCATATCCGAGTCAGTCTCAGTCCCCAGCGAGAGGGTTTTCTCGACGGCAGGTGACATAGTTACCGCCAACAGATCTGCCCTCACTACTGACAACGTAGACAAACTCATCTTTTTGAAGAACAACTTGAAAATAGAGTAAAGCTTGAGTACCTTTTATTTAGGCATAATGGCCTCACACACTCACACGTTAATTACACATGTTAGACATTGCTCCTAAAGGTACAGATTTGATTTTGTTTTACATTTATCATTGTATTTATTTTATATTTTGACATCAGGAGATGTTATACAGTTCTGTATTGCCTTTTATTGATTGTGATTGAAACACTTTCTTATTATTTATTTTAATATTTTCAAGACATTCTTTTTAGTTGTACAGCTTATTTACCTTATTTACCTTTTTGTTTGACATCAGCCATTATAAATAATATGGCCATCTGAGTGTGTGTGGTACTGTTTGTGGTTTGTTTTTAACTGTGTAATACAGTTAATGATTCCAAATGTTAGAGTTCCTTATTTTCATACCAAAACTTGCACTACTGTTAAAAATAAATAACAGCAAAAAAAATTATGCATTTGGGACTTTTTTTTGCTTTTCCTTGTTGTACCGAACCCGTACCGAACCGTGACCCCCAAACCGAGGTACGAACCGAACCGTGACTTCTGTGAACCGTTACAACCCTACTCAATACACTGGCCAACCAAAGTAAAACCTCAGTTTTAAACTAGGTTCAAACTTTGGTTTTCTATTTTACGTTGGAATCTGTTTCTTTTTGTAATTTTATTGCAAAATGTTTATGTTTCTGATTTTTCTTTTATCTTTTTTCAGCGTTACAGCAACAGGAGTCTGAATCTGAGACTGTGAAGAGCATTCACTCCTGTCCTTTATGTGGGGACTCATTTGATAACAGGACTGGTCAGTCCAACCACATAAGAGGCCACCTCAAAAAGCTTGGTAAAAGCTTTGCAACAAAGAACAAATCCCCGTTATGTTTACTCCGCGAGTTGATGCGGGACAAGAAGGAGTTCCAGCGGGCCCTCCAAATTGTGGGAAAGAAAAGGAACCATTTCCAATATGGTGCTTCCCCAAAGCTTTCCAGTTTTGACAGTTTCACGCCACCGCCCATTGGATGCCCCGGCGTTTGCACTGATTCCACACCATTGATGTCCCCGTTTTCTTTGGCGGGAATAGAATCGGAACAAGGGCAACCAGAGACTAAGTTGGATGTTAAAAATTCACTCTCCGGCACAACTGCTTTGATAGGAATTCTGAAGAAGAGGAAGTGTCAGGAGGACGGCAAAATAAAGGGGTCCCTTCAGATGGCAAGAAACATGTTACTTTCTTCAAACAGTGAGCACTGTCCAGGATCAAGAGTTGCATCTTCACTGCCAAATTCAATATGCGGTAAGTAGGGGTGTAACGGTACACGTACCCGTACCGAAATTATTCGGTACGGGCCCTTCGGTTCGGTACAGGTGTGTACCGAACGAATATAACGTTAAACGTAAAAAATTTAGAACGTGAACAACTTTTTGGAAGTAATCTCAGGTGCTGCGTCGCAGCATTCAGAGTAATTTGCTCACATTGGGTTCAACGCGTCATAGAGCGAGCAAGTCATTTCATTGGATGAGAGGCATACTATGAGAGCTGGACAGAGGGATGCGTTCAAATGTAGTCAGTAATTTGAGGAACTGTCGAAAATTAATGGCGAACGCAGATAAAGTTGAGCTCGAAAATCCTCCAGCATCATTGAAGTCTCCGGTTTGGGAACATTTTGGTTTCGCAGTTACGTACAAGGATGAAGGACAAAGACAGGTAGACCAAACCAAAGCTGTTTGTCAGCATTGTTCAACTAACATTGGTTGCGCGGCTGGCAATACATCAAACTTGCACACTCTTGAAAAGGCATCACCGAACGCGAATATCACCGGTACCAAAAGAAAAAAGACTGAAGTGCAAACCCAACTCCCACTAGCATTTAAGCCTCCACCACTCGCAGAGAGTTCAGACCGAGCCAAAGCTATTACAAACGCCAAATATCCTTATGTTGCCATGTTAGCAAAGCATGGCTGTATCTGCTACCTCTGTCCCTAGAGAGAGGGTGTTCTCCACAGCAGGAGACTTTGTTAGTTCCAGCAGATCTGCCCTTTCGGCAAGCAATGTGGACAAGTTCATTTTTCTTTAAAAAAACATGAAAATACAATGACAAGCCAGTCCTAATGTCAAACTGGCTGCTTAGGAACTAGTACAGTACAGTTCAAATACAGATTATTTCAGTTCATCGAAAAGCTGCACCTTAATGTTTATTTTATTATATTTTGTATTTATTTGAGTGAATATTCACAGTTTAATAATAATTAAAAACCCAAAACTAATAGTTTATGTTTTGTGAGTACTAGTAGCCTACAGTAAAGTTCAAATACAGATTATTTCAGTTCATCGAAATGCTGCACCTTAATGTTTATTTTATTATATTTTGTATTTATTTGAGTGAATACATTATTCACAGTTTAATAATAATAAAAAAAATATATATATATATGTTTTGTTTTGTGAAAAAAAATTCTGCTGTACCGAACCGAACCGTGACCAAAAAACCGAGGTACGTACCGAACCGAAATGTTTGTGAACCGTTACACCCCTAGCGGTAAGTAACTTCCTTAAATTACTAACCAGTAGGTTATATACTGGGGCATTGATGTTTTTTGATTAATTTAGAATTGTCTATAATCCTGTATTCCTATTTATATATTCATGATCAATATCTCTGATATGATAAAGTTCAATTAATTAAAAGTATAACCTCACTTGTACATTTAAGAGAAATAAGCTATTGGAAAAAGAATCCTGTCTTAGCTTTTGATGGCTTGTTAGAGGCAAACCAATGCAAATTGACCCATTTAAAATGCATTTTGCAGTTGTTTAATGCAAATATATGAGAAACAAACATCAGATTGAAAGCGTTGTTAAAGTGTGGTGTCATCAGCATAAAGGCTTAAAATGACATTGCCAAAAATCCTTCTGATTTTGTGGCCAAAACTGAGGAGCATTTTGCATATAATAATGCAAAAATAATCTCATTATTTCTGTATCAAAACTTTAATAGCAGTAATTCTGCATGCAGGGTTTTTAACAATAGGATTATAGGACAGCTTTTATACATTTTATGAACCTTACATGATTGAATTTAGATTCAATACCACTAACAAATCAGCATGACCATGTTATACTTCAACTTATTTGTTTGTCTTTGTATTTTTTGTCTTTTTACAGAGAAAGGTGAATTCAATAGGAAGATGTGTGTCCATTGCAATGCAACTTTCCACAGTGGTGTTAGCTTGTCTAATCACCTGCGGGCATATGCAAAACGAAAAAGGAATGCCGTACTTGACGGAACCGGTAAGTGCCATCAGCAACAGTTTAAGTTGAAGACATAATGAACAGCCATTTTTAGAGCACAAGTTAGTCATTTGAGATTGTAGAATGCTACATTAGATCAACTTTTTTAATGATAACCTGTTGAGATTTTTCTTAAACAAACAGTTATGCTAACATTAACTTTTTCTCAGCAAAGCACATCATTTCTATCGTTTAAACCTAATCCTTCCTCTTAAAACTATTTTCTAAAATGTCAAAACATTCAGTGTTTCTAACCATATTGTCTAGCTAGCAGTCTTCTTTTTACTCTAACACCAAATGTCAATCAGTGAAAGAGCAAGGATCCACTGGCAGAAATGTGTTCAATGTAACTTGACAAATGAAATCTATTCACCTTCACTGTATTGTTATGTCAGTTGACATCTCAGACAGATAACTCAAACTCTCAGCAGATGAAGCCAAAACTGTCTGTAGTGCCGGATACCACAAGAGGTTGTGAGGACCACATCATAGTTGTAATGAGTGTACCGGTGGTTATTTGTGTCCTCCCCAAGATAAAGATCCAGAATGGCATCAGCAAGTAAAATATTGCAACGATTTTAATTGTGGAGCTTCATGGGTGCATCCATTGGAGGAACAACCTTTTTGAAGCAGAAAGCCTTCAGGGCCTACTTTTCCTGCAGGCACAGATAATTACACTTACAGTGGGGCAAAAAAGTATTTAGTCAGCCACAAATTGTGCAAGTTCTCCCACTTAAAAAGATGAGAGAGGCCTGCAATTTTCATCCTAGGTACACTTCAACTATGAGAGACAGAATGGGGGGAAAGAATCCAGGAAATCACATTGTAGGATTTTTAATGAATTAATTGGTAAATCCCTCGGTAAAATAAGTATTTGGTCACCTACAAACAAACAAGATTTCTGGCTCTCACAGACCTGTAACTTCTTCTTTAAGAGCCTCCTCTGTCCTCCACTTGTTAACTGTATTAATGGCACCGGTTTGAACTCGTTATCAGTATAAAAGACACCTGTCCACAACCTCAAACAGTCACACTCCAAACTCCACTATGGCCAAGACCAAAGAGCTGTCAAAGGACACCAGAAACAAAATTGTAGACCTGCACCAGGCTGGGAAGACTGAATCTGCAATAGGTAAGCAGCTTGGTGTGAAGAAATCAACTGTGGGAGCAATTATTAGAAAATGGAAGACAAACAAGACCACTGATAATCTCCCTCGATCTGGGGCTCCACGCAAGATCTCACCCCGTGGGGTCAAAATGATCACAAGAACGGTGAGCAAAAATCCCAGAACCACACGGGGGGACCTAGTCAATGACCTGCAGAGAGCTGGGACCAAAGTAACAAAGGCTACCATCAGTAACACACTACGCCACCAGGGACTCAAATCCTGTAGTGCCAGACGTGCCAGTACATGTCCAGGCCCGTCTGAAGTTTGCTAGAGAACATTTAGATCAGGGGTGTCAAACTCAATTTCATCGCGGGCCACATTCGTATAAAGGTTGCACTCAAAGGGCCGGTTGTAACTATATAAATATATATATATATATAAAATAATGTATTATATTACATTATTGCCTCTGAATTGGATTATTATCGGATAGGATAATAACTTAGTAATTAACTACGTCTGAAAGCAGAAGTCCAGGGCAAATAATTGCAAGTCTCTTCAGTGCGCATGTCACAAAATGAGATGCATTGTGGGACATGTAGTTTATGGGCAACCTTCTTCTGTAAAGTGGCATGTAACCGTATATAATACACTTATTATATTCTTTGCAAGCTCTTGCAGGGCCACATAAAATGAAGTCTCGGCCCGGATTTGGCCCCCGGGCCTTGAGTTTGAGACCCCTGATTTAGATGATCCAGAAGAGGATTGGGAGAATGTCATATGGTCAGATGAAACCAAAATAGAACTTTTTTGGTAAAAACTCAACTAGACATGTTTGGAGGAGAAAGAATGCTGAGTTGCATCCAAAGAACACCATACCTACTGTGAAACATGGGGGTGGAAACATCATGCTTTGGGGCTGTTTTTCTGCAAAGGGACCAGGACGACTGATCCGTGTAAAGGAAAGGCAAGGCAAGTTTATTTATATAGCACTTTTCAACACAAGGCAATTCAAAGTGCTTTACAAAAAATGAAAGACATTAAGAAAAAGGCATTTAAAATCAGTCATTAAAAAGAAAGCTAATAAAATAAACAATAAAAGAAAAAATACATGGATAAAAGTTTCAGTGCAGTCTAAGATATGAATAGTTCAATTAAACATTAAAAGAAAAAGTACATGGATAAAAGTTACAGTGCAGTCTAAGATATGAATAGTTCAATTAAAAGCAGCGACAAAAAGAAAAGTCTTCAGCCTGGATTTAAAAGTAGTCAGAGTTGCAGCGGACCTGCAGGTTTCTGGGAGTTTGTTCCAGATGTTTGGAGCATAATAACTGAACGCTGCTTTACCATGTTTAGTTCTGACTCTGGGGACAGAAAGCTGACCAGTCCCTGAAGACCTGAGAGATCTGGATGGTTCATAATTTAGCAGGAGGTCAGAAATGTATTTTGGGCCTAAACCATTCAGTGCTTTATAAACCAGCAGCAGTATTTTGAAATCTATTCTTTGACACACAGGAAGCCAGTGTAAAGACTTCAGAACAGGAGTGATGTGATCCACTTTCTTAGTGTTAGTGAGGACTCGAGCAGCGGCGTTCTGAATCAGCTGCAGCTTCCTAATAGATTTTTTAGTGAGACCTGTGAAGACACCATTGCAGTAGTCAAGTCTACTGAATATAAAAGCATGGACAAGTTTTTCCAAATCCTGCTGTGACATTAGTCTTTTAATCCTAGATATATTCTTTAGGTGATAGTAGGCTGATTTAGTAACTGTTTTAATGTGACTGTTGAAACTCAGGTCAGAGTCCATGACTACACCTAGATTTCTGGCTTTATCTGTTGTTTTGAACATTGCAGACTGAAGCTCAGCGCTAACTTTTATACGTTCTGACTTGGCTCCAAAAACCATTACCTCAGTTTTATCTTTGTTTAATTGGAGAAAGTTCTGACACATCCAGTCATTGATTTGTTCAATGCACTTACTCAGTGTTTGAATTGGAGCATAGTCTCCTGGTGAAATTGTTATGTACATTTGTGTGTCATCTGCATAGCTATGGTAACTTATTTTGTTGTTTTTCATTATCTGAGCCATTGGTAGCATGTAGATGTTAAAGAGAAGAGGCCCCAAGATGGAGCCTTGAGGAACCCCACATGTCATATTTGTCAACTCAGATGTGTATTTACCTATAGAAACAAAGTTGTTTCTGTCCTTTAAGTAGGATTTAGAACTGTTTCCGAAAGTCCCACCCAGTTTTCCAGTCGGTCTAGTAATATGCTGTGGTCAACAGTGTCAAACGCAGCACTGAGATCTAATAATACTAACACTGAAGTTCTGCCACTGTCTGTGTTTAAGTGGATGTCATTAAAGACCTTTACAAGAGCAGTCTCAGTGCTGTGGTTTGGACGAAAGCCTGACTGGAACACATCGCAACAGTTATTTAAATGCAAGAAATTACTCAACTGTTGAAAAACAACTTTTTCAATGATTTTACCTAGAAATGGGAGGTTTGATATGGGCCTGTAATTGTTCATTACTGAAGCATCTAGATTATTCTTTTTTAAGAGCGGTTTAATGACTGCAGTTTTCAGGGCCTGTTGAAAAATACCTGAATGAAGAGATTTGTTTACTATATGAAGTAGATCTGAGGCCATGCAAGGCAAAACATCTTTAAAAAATCCTGTTGGAATAATATCAAGGCAGCAGGAGGAGGATTTCAGAAGTTGAATAATGTCCTCTAGGTTTTTATCATTAATCTGATGGAATTGTGTCATGATGTCTGAATTGATGTTAAGTGGAGATAGGGACAACACATTTGCTGATCCTGATGTAGAGGCACTGACTGCTTGTCTGATTTTCTGAATTTTGTCAGTGAAAAAGGAGGCAAAATCATTGCACGCCTTGGTGGATAGAAATTCAGAGGCTACTGACACTGGGGGGTTAGTTAGTCTGTCGACGGTAGCAAACAAGGTACGTGCGTTGTTTTTGGTAATGATGTCAGAGAAGAACGATTGTCGTGCGTTTTTCAATTCCAAATTATAAAGGCCAAGTCTCTCTTTATAGATTTCAAAGTGAACCTGAAGATTTGTTTTTCGCCACCTGCGTTCAGCTTTTCGACATTCTCTTTTTTCTGTTTTCACGCTCATGGCCTTTCTCCATGGAGATATTTTCTTGCCAGACACTTCCTTTACCTTAGTTGGAGCAATGGCATCTATAACATTTTTAATTTTTGAATTAAAATGATCTACTAGCTCATTTACTGAGATGTTAGCAGGGGCAAGTGTGGAAGAAAAATTCTGAGTAAACATTTCCCTAGTATTTTCAGTTAAATATCGCTTTGTGGTTACCTCTTTTTGAACATTTTTGTGAACAGAAATAGCGCTCTCAAAGAAAACACAGGAATGGTCAGAGAGTGCAACATCAGTCACCACAACCTTAGAGATATTCAGACCCTTTGAGATAATTAAGTCCAGAGTGTGCCCCTTATTGTGCGTGGGCTCCGTCACATGCTGAGTCAGTCCATAGCTATCAAGAACACAAAACAGTTCTTTTGCCCCTCTGTCCTGGGGGTTGTCAACATGGATGTTAAAATCACCAACAATGACTAGACGGTCAAAGTCAATACACACTATAGACAGCAGTTCAGTAAAGTCATCAAAAAAGCTTGCACAGTATTTGGGTGGTCTATAGATATTTAGGAACAGAGCTCGAGAGGAGCATTTCAGCTGAAGGGCCACATATTCAAAAGAATCAAAGTTTCCATACGATGTCTTCCTGCATTGAAGGGAATCATTGAACAGAATAGCAACTCCACCTCCTTTCTTATGCATTCTTTCCTGACTCATAAAACTAAAGTTGGGAGGGGTTGATTCGATAAGAACAGCTGCACTGTGATTTTGTTCAATCCAAGTTTCTGTTAAAAACATAAAATCGAGATTGTGCTCAGTGATAAAATCATTGATTAAAAATGTTTTTCCTGCCAAAGACCTGACATTTAATAAAGCTAGTTTAAGTTTGTTAAACACACTATCAGTCATGTTTTTTGTAACAAGCTGTGGCTGACATGGAATCACTGCTAAATTAGATAAACTCACACAAACGTTTGAGCGCTTCCTGTATCTAAGATGATGTATCTAAGATGAAAGAATGAATGGGGCCATGTATCGTGAGATTTTGAGTGAGTGAGATTTTGAGTGACAACCTCCTTCCATCAGCAAGGGCATTGAAGATGAAACGTGGCTGGGTCTTTCAGCATGACAATGATCCCAAACACACCGCCCGGGCAACGAAGGAGTGGCTTCGTAAGAAGCATTTCAAGGTCCTGGAGTGGCCTAGCCAGTCTCCAGATCTCAACCCCATAGAAATGTTTTTCTCATTTTGTCTCTCATAGTTGAGGTATACCTAGGATGAAAATTACAGGCCTCATCTTTTTAAGTGGGAGAACTTGCACAATTGCTGGCTGACTAAATACTTTTTTGCCCCACTGTATATGTTAGGCTTTTGGTCCTAGTGACACTGGATTGGCCAATACTGTTGAGACACAGAGCCAGAATATTAATGATGAATAAAGATAGAGCTAATGATGTCCACACATCCAATCTGGGTTTTGAATTTGCAAGGCTAGTGCTGATCATTAAAAAAGTTTGTTCTGTCTCCCAGCATTTGACTGCAAAGCAAGGAGGTACCGCTCAAGGCCTGGCTCAAAGAAGAAGCTACTGCCCTTACCACAAACTCCAGAGGAAATGTACAGACTCACCTGCAGGTAATTTTTGTATATAGTTTATAATATTGGATTATATGTTTTTAATAGCGTACATCATCGTGTTTGCAATCCAACAGACCGCTGTCAAAATATTTTTGTGGTCTGTTTGCTTCTGTTGCCAGCCATTTTCTTTAAAGCGGACCTATCCTGTAAAATGCACTTTTTTATGTCTTTTATACATAAATATATATGTGTGACGTAATATGGTCTTTGTTTACATTAGCAAGCATCCCTAACACTCAGAGCTAACCTGTACTGGAGACTGTGGCTGTTTCTCAATGTCGAGTAAACCTGCTGCAGAGCCACTATTTCAAGTATACTACGTCATCGAGTTGCGCCGAAGGACTGTTTAAATGCATGTTAAATGCCCAGCATTCGGCGCCACTCGATGACGTAGTATACTTGAAATAGTGGCTCTGCAGCATGTGTACTGGACATTGAGAAACGGCCAGTATGTGTAAAAAAGCAGGACATAAAAACCTCACCTTGTGGTAAACCTGCAAAAACAAAAGCAATTGAGCTCCATACTGTTTCAGAAATAATCCTTGATGTGGTTTGGAACATGATGGTGTTCAATCACGGGAGCATTTAGCTGTATATCCGTAGAATTCTGAGCAGGCATTAACTCCCCCTCCTCGAATCAGAAGTTCTCTTACAGGGCTGAAACAGAGGGATATGAGGGATGTCTAAAATGCATGATCTGTTTGGTATTTTGAGCAAAACACATCATAGACATGTTTTTTATATATTTTTATATGAGACCCATAATATATGCCTAAAAATAGTATAATAGGATACCTTTTAAGTTCTAAAACAATTATGGTGAAGAATGTACTCCAAATAGGAGAAGAGGGTTTTTAGATTATCCTGTCGGGTTATTGATCGTATTAGATTGTTGTATTCCTTCAGCTAAGAAAAAATAGTAATTCTTCTGTGAAGCAACGGCTGGAACTGTAGCGACAGCAATGCAACTTGAAATAACGGCAGTACTGGTCGAGGTTTTCTGTAACTATCCAAGTCCCATTTTTGTTGTTCCTTTTTTCTTCTTTTTGGACTGGTGACAGTTAAGCCAATATGGATAAAAAATGTATATTCAAAAACGGGAAACTAATGTGTTTACCGGCGTAAAATTGTCTGGACATCTTTCTGTGACACATGGTCCCTTGAACAGAGCGTCCTTAGCAACAGTCTGCTATTCCTAGCAACATTCTGCTATCCTTATCAGCGGTCTACTATCGAGAAAGATTTGACTGCAGAATTTCCAAAAGAACCAGATCAGAATTCAGTGTTCATCTAAGCTGTGTAATATCTAATGATCTTTTTCAATGTTTGATCTCTGTAGGTTCTGTGACCTCGTCTTCCAGGGTCCGTTGTCGGTGCAGGAGGACTGGATTAAACACTTACAGAGACACATTATGAACACTAGTGTCCCTCACACTGGGCTGGGCATGATGGAGGTCACCTCGCTGCCCAGGGACCCCTCAACTTTCAAGACTGACCAAGACAGCTCTCTGACAGCCACACACGCTGCCTCATGAAGCCAACGGGGACCTTTTTAGATTTCACTAGACTATGTGTATGTACATTGGATGTTTTCACTTTTCTTTTCTCTTTTAGTCAAAATACTGGCTAAAAGTAAATCATTGGTCAATGATGGAGAGATATTGTACATGTTTGGACAGAAGATTTTTTTAATTATTTGGATATTGTTACTTTTTGTTGTTTTTACATGGTTCATTTTCTGGAAATACACTTCCAAACGGACACACTATTTTGTTTTATGCAGTAATATAGTGTGGAATCCAAGACAACCTTTACCTCAGATTTTTCATGGTTTCCGTTTTTGTCAAAATTTGGGAGCACCTCTCTTCTGTATCAATTTCACTCTTTAAAAGATGCTTAAAATCATGTTTGTTGTATTGCAACATGTCCAAGCCCACAGTCTCTGTTTCCAGGCCACAGCGTGAGTGAGATGAATATTCCCACTGAAAATGATGGCATCTGAAAGCTCACTTTTCCACGAATCCCGAGTGGAAAGATGAGCTACTCTACAAGAACAAAAAGAAAATGTCTACAAACTTGTAATGCATAGAAAGTGGTTTTAAAAAAAATAGTATTTCAGTTAACTGCATTGTTTTTATTACAAATACAAAATTAAAACTGAAGGTGGTTAAGAAAAAAAAGACTTAAAGCACAGCCGGTGCTGACGACGCCCTTCATACATGTCACCTATATTTAATGTTTGAATATACTGTTTTGAAAATAATTTTATTTTAAATGTACTATATCACTCAGATACAATGCTTAAAACATTTGTGTTGTTCTAAATAAAAGAAAACAAGAAACAAGTTGTCTTTTTCAATCTTTTTTTTTTCCACACAAAATATAAAAAAACATTTCTGTAAATGAATAATACTACACACTTTGTCCTCTTGAAATGCTCAAATGGTGATGCACTAGGGGTCCTGTAGATAACATTAACCAAATGTGACAGACAATGTGTGACAAAGGGAACAAACCTTGATACAAGATGAGACTCTTTATTCAGACAAATCCTGAATGACTCTGCAATACACCACTCAAATGCAGCATTTACGGGTGGTGATAGTGGTTTAACTCCAGGGTTCTTCATCAGCTGTCTTTTGGAGACTTCCATTGGTTCGCATCATTCAAATGGGCTGCCACCCTGGAGAAAAAAATGGCAACTTTACGAGCTGTTATCGACACAATTTCATCAAAGAAATGTGTGATCGTGAAATGGGGCATTAAGCATAACAAGTACTTTTACTTTTGGTACTGGTTAGATTTTGAATTCAAGACTTTTACTGGTAACGGAGTACTTTTTACAATTTTGTATTGCTACTTTTAGATTAAAAAAAAAGTATATTCTTGCACCAGTAAGGAGGAACCAGTAAGGAGGAGCAAAGGATACTAAAACAATCCCATTTAAGATATTGGTATCAGCAGCTTTATTAGTAGCCTTAGTTGGTACTATTTCCTAGTGTTATAATGTAAGATGTGTACATTTATTTTGTTTTACTTGGAAAGATTTGGTTTACTGTCCCTTATATATTTTAATGCCATATCGACATAAATAAAAAGCGCAATCTCACCTTATCTTACATGCACAGTGTTTTTTTAACATGCTGTAATGTGCTACTATTTTTTACTTTCTACATTAGGTTGTATATTTAAAGAAACAATAGCTCAAACACCAGAGGCCTGTACTACGAAGCCGGTTCAACCTAACCTGGATATGTTTGAGTTACCCGGTTTACCTAATCCAAAACAAACGCGCTCTCGCTAAACTGTCCAACGACGCTGGTTATCAACTCGTTAACTCAAACCAGCTGCTTTGCCCTATCTAGTTGGGTGCGTGTTCACATGAAAGGGGTGGTATTTGGAGCATTCGACCAATCACAAACATGGAGAAGCGTAATGACAGCGCAGCGTCATACTTTCTGAATGAAAAGTCATATTAGACAAATATGAAGACATTAAACTTTAAACATCCATGACTTAAACTATGAAGGTAGATATGGTGCAAAATGCGAGAGCGTGTAAAAGCTGATGTGAGCACTTGCAGAAAAAAAATCTGAGCTTGTGGGCATACATTTACACTTGTATAAAATATCCACGTAACTGTGAACCAAATGTACACTTGTATAAAAATATCCACGTAACTGTGAACCACATTTGAAGTCACAGAAGAAAAAAAGAAAGTGTTGTAGCTTGTAGAAAAAAAATGAACTTAGTGATGAAATGTTCACTTGCAGAAAAATTCGTTCGTGTCGCTACCATATGGGCTCAGAACAGTCTCATAATACACACATGCGCACAGAAGGATTCACACTTGTATTTCATGATCTGCAAAAGGATTCACACTTGTATTTCATGATCTGCAAAAGGATTCACACTTGTATTTCATGATCTGCAAAAGGATTCACACTTGTATTTCCGGATCCACACTTGTGTTTTTCAATGCACACACAAATGTATTCCGTTTCATATACATGTAAATAAAATCCAAATACAGAAAAAAGTTTTACATATGTATTTTTGATCCTCACATATTTGTTTTCCGTTTAAAACCTCTGAACCTGCAAACACAAACCGCTTTCTGTGCACGGATCGCTGTGCATTCGTGTGTGGGTTTTTTGAGACTCCCCTGACGGTCAGCCGATTCGTACTTGTAATTATTTCTATCTATAGCCAATCAGATGTCTCCTCAATTCTAAGCCAATCACATGAGCGCGCCCCCACGAGGGTAGATTTCTTGCGTTCATGACGTAGCGCTTCATGTACGCATTTTGCGCTGTCCGGAGCTGACAGCTCCATGGAGCCTGCCTGCAGGCGCTAATCTCAGGACACCTCCACTCTCAGTACATTGCCACTTTCCGAACAGGAAATGCACGCAAATACAAGCCTTTATATTATTAAGGTACAGCGCCACTTTCCGAACCATTGATGAATGCTTGTGTACACAAAAACGGCAGGCAAAACCGTTTTAAATGTGTGTTTCCTGTATGGCGAATACAGCTGCTTTATTTATGTCTGTATGAAGTTGTTGTGAGTGTGGAGGGAGCAGCTACAGGTTAGCTTAGCCTAATCGATCAGTGCACTACGAAGCCAGTGCTAGACAGTGACCTGTTAACGGGGGGAGCCCCGCCGGTCGTTACCGGCCGATATAGTTTGATCGGTGCTCTCTATAAAGGCCGATCAGGAGAGCTGGATCTGATCGATATGGACATAAACGCGAGTGAAGTATAACCGGACGCGAGAGAGAGATCAGATCAGCTGCTGAGTCTGATGGAGACACGCTGCTCTGCATGATCACCTGTTGCTCCGCCCTCTGTTTAGCAAGCTGACCGGACTGCGCAAAATGCGTATATGAAGTAATCTTACCCTGTGGGGGCGCGCTCATGTGATTGGCTTAGAATGAAGGAGACATCTGATTGGCTATAGATAGAAAAAATTACAAGTACGAATCGGCTGAGCGTCAGGGGAGTCTCAAAAAACCCACACACGAATGCAAAGCGATCCGTGCACAGAAAGCTGTTTGTGTTTGCAGGTTCAGAGGATTTAAACGGGAAACTAATAAGTGAGGATCAAAAATACATATGTAAAACTTTTTTCTGTATTTAGATTTTATTTACATGTATATGAAACGGAATACATGTGTGTGTGCATTGAAAAACACAAGTATGGATCCGGAAATACAAGTTTGAATCCTTCTGTGTGCATGTGTGTATTATGAGACTGTTCTGAGCCCATACTACTAGTCTGCTGACATGGCGCGTCAATCAACGGTAAGTTTTGCCCATTACTTGCCCAGTATTACTTTGAATATTATTATTGTGATTGAGGATTAAATCCGCTTTGAAGACCACCGTTTTATATTGTGCAGTTTAGCAGCAAAATAACGTCAGTTAGCCAGCTAACGCTAGCTTTGTTGAGTTTATGCTAGCTAAACAAGTAGTGGTTGTAGTCTACAGCAGTAATTCATATATTATAGCCTACTGCTTTGGCACTAACGGTTGATAACCGTTTATGAAAATAAAACCAATTGAACTGTGCTGAATTAATGACAAGTTTTATAATTGTCTTGGGCTCCTGCTGTGTTTTTAAAGCCTTTGTAAATTATTCATGCTATTTTCTATTTAGCTAACGTCGAAGTAGTGTATGTGAAATCAACCTCACAATAAGATGTGTGTATATTACAATTATTAATGTCATATTTCAAGATGATTACTTAGATATTACAATATGGTTGGTTGAGCTGGAGTTCATTATTGAGCTTACACGTTAACGTCTGTCATATCTGGAGAGACAGCAAGCGCATTTCGTGGCATCTGCAGGCAGTGGCAAGTCCTTCCGGCATATGCCACAGAGGCCGCTACTCTGTGGTAGCTGTGGCAAGTCCTTCCGGCATATGCCACAGAGGCCGCTACTCTGTGGTAGCTGTGGCAAGTCCTTCCGGCATATGCCACAATTTGCCGAGGCATCTGCCGCTGCTCAACGGGAGTTGCCACAAGATGCCAGAGTAAGAGAAGGTTTACGGTAGCTGCCACTCGGCTTCCGTGGCAAATGCAGCTATTTAAACCCGTATTTATCGTGTAAAATGTCGCTGTTTTGGCATGACTTTATCGAACTGATCTGTACACAGGACTGATGGTCCGATCTCTATTTTTTAAAACATTATAATTTCTATTCAATTTTACTTGGAGCATGGTTTGCTAAAATAAACAAACGTGCTATATTTATGATGAAATATTGGCGAGTGAGGGTTGCAACGCCCTTGGCAATTTTCGCTTCTTGAGGGGAGTTTCCACTGCTTGCTACGATAAACCAGGTGTATGACTAGTAAAGACAAATAATTGATAAATACATATCTGTATTGACACAGCAACGTGTACACTGGTGTTATTAGACTTGGCTACAGACTTAGGGCAGCTGTAACTGATTGCAGTTGCCACTGCTAGTGAGATGCTAAGGTTTACTTTATAAATTAGGCAAAGGACTTATATTTGCCCCATGCCTTCAGCAGCAGCAGGCCATTCACTTTGATTTGATCCAGTTATGAAATGTCATTTCGACAGTAAAGAAATGCTACATAAACGTTATCTTGCACGTTTTATCGAACCATCTCCGTTTCTAACTTTCAATATATCTAAAAAGATCTCTCTCTCATCTGCGTGCGGGGGCGGGGCCTCACAGACATGCTGCTGCGCTGTGCACACAGTTCTGCCGGTAATGAATATTAGAATACATTTTATGAGGAAACTTTTCCACCAATAATTCCAATAAGTATTCCAAAATGTATTCACTTCAGGTTTACGAAAGTAACTGTATTCGGATTAGTTGTTTTTCAAATGTAACGCGAGCTGAATACAGTTAGGCTACTTGGTTTTTGTATTCTGATTACGTAACGCCGTTACATGTATTCAGTTACAACCCAACCCTGTGCAGATCATCAGTCCTGTGTACAGATCAGTTCGATAAAGTCATGCCAAAACAGCGACATTTTACACGATAAATACGGGTTTAAATAGCAGCATTTGCCACGGAAGGCGAGTGGCAGCTACCGTAAACGTTCTCTTACTCTGGCACCCGTTGAGCAGCGGCAGATGCTTCGGCAAGTTGTGGCATCTGTGGCATATGTCGGAAGTACTTGCCACAGCTACCACAGAGAAGCGGCCTCTGTGGCATATGCCGGAAGTACTTGCCACAGCTACCACAGAGTAGCGGCCTCTGTGGCATATGCCGGAAGTACTTGCCACAGCTACCACAGAGTAGTGGCCTCTGTGGCATATGCCGGAAGGACTTGCCACTGCCTGCAGATGCCACGAAATGAGCCAGGCCCTACTGCATATCTGAAGAACAAACCCAAACCGTGTTGTTTTTATTAATTGTATTACCAAATTAATATCAAATAAACAGTAAGCATTGGTAACACAACTTCCAAAGTTACAGTAAAAATAAAAAAGGACCCTGACTCGGACAATACACAATTCAACATGTTCAACAGAAGAGAAGAAGTGATATTGTTTGTACACATGGTACTTTACATATATATCTGTTTGTTTAAGGTGTCCAGGTGATACAGGCAGGCTGGACCAGAGAGAGACAGAACTGGAGTCCTCACAGCAGTGAACTTCAGCACAGGTACAAAGACTCTTTTTTTCA